AAGATTGCAAAGACGGCACAAAACCAAAGCACCTTGGCCCTCTTCGACCTGCTCAAAGCTCGAAAATCAATTAAAATCACATGTGCACTAACTTTTGGAGCCACCCATATAAACATTCCCCAAACTAAACAACATTTGCCATAAACTCAATGCTACTGGACAATACAGAAATAAATGATCCAGTGATTCTTCATTCCTACAACAATTATGCACCATTGAGGACTTAGATAACAAAAGGTCTCCTTTTTTGCAATGTATCATTTGTCAAAGTGCCTACATGAACCAAGATCCACATGAACACCTTCACCTTAAGAGGAACACAAGCCCTCCAAATCTTCTTACGGAAAGGAAACTGAGGTGTACATCCAAGGTTGTCAAGATCACGATCCAGATCGTAGGGTCGTACGATCCTACGATCCAATATACACCATTCGATCCGACTCATGCTTTGGATCGACCCCAGATCAGGATTGTGGTGGGATCGTGGAAGGATCGCTGGGATCGTATCTGGATCGCAACTCCATGCGATCTAGATTTGAAGGGTTTTTTGGCAACTTAAAAGCAAAGATCGGGAGCAAAAAAGGTAGAGAAGCAAAGAAGTCTGACCTGCGATTAGGGCAATACAAATTGGGGAAAGAGAAATTCAACATTAAATTTCAGAATTTGCAGCACACAAACCAGGTATGCTTCTTCTTCTTCTTCGAATCTTCCATCTCTGTATTTCTTATTTGTTTTTTTCTGTCTTCTTCTTCTTCGCTACTCTTTGTTTTCTTTTTCTTCGCTGTTCTTCTTCCTTTCTCTTCACTGCTATTCTTCGATCTTCTCTATGGTTCGAATCTTTTCTTCTTTTTCTTTCTTCTTTGCTCAGCTCTTCTTCTTTTCTCTTCATTGATTTGCTTCCCTTCTCTTCGTTGCTCTCGTTTTGTTCTGTTTTTGTATATATATATACCGAATCACCTTTTTTTTCTTTTTCTTTTTTTTTGCACTTTTTTTTTCTATAAATTATATATCATATATATTTTTGTATGAATGATGTGTTGTTATGTTTCTCTTTTTTCTTTTTCTTTTTCTTTTTCATTTTTCTTGGTTCTTCTTTGCTGCTATGCTACTATTGTTCTTCTTTGCTACTTTTTCCCTAAACTTTGCTGAAAAAAATTCTTTTAATTTTCACAATTTGCAGTGCACAATGTCAACCTCTGGTCCAAGAAGAGGGAGAAAGAGGAAAAATGTTGCTAGTCACAGATCTGATCATGGTTGGGAACACGACATTGAAGTGGATCTGTAAGCAAAAAGGTAAATGCAAATACTATAATGTTACTCATTCTGGAGGAATATATAGATTAAAACACCATTTGGCATGCACTCATCAAAATGTCGAACCATGTCCCCAAGTTCCGGATGATGTTAGAGAAAAATTTACAAGTCTTTTAAAACATTAGAGTCTTAAAATAAGAAAAGGAGGATGCTTGATATTGGTGATGATGATTCTGATGAAGAAGTGGAACTATTGCATGTTGGCCATGGAAACAAACAAAAACATTATAGGTGTATGAATAAATTTGTGGTGAATAAGTCTCGTCACCAAAATCAAAAAACTATCAATCAATTATTTAAGAAAGAAGAGAGATGATGTTTGTCAAACAATTGCCCGGTTTTTTTACACTATTGCAATTCCTTTTAATTGTGTCAACAATCCTATATTTCCACTTATGGTTAAGAAAATTGGAAATTATGGAAAAGGCCTTGTGTCACCATCTTACCATGAAATTAGGGTGACATTTTTAAAAAAAGGAGTGCGTGAGACATTACAATTACTTGACGAGTTCAAGAAACAATGGAAAAAGACCGAGTGTACAATTATGTCCGATGGATGGTCAGGTAGAAAGAGAAGATCAATTTGTAATTTTCTTGTCAATAGCCCTAATGGAACTATCTTTCTATCATCATTGGATACATCTGACATTTCAAAAACCGGTGAAAAGGTTTTTGAGGTGTTGGATGAGGTTGTCGAGAAAGTTGGAGTGGAGCATGTTGTGCAAGTGGTGACCGACAATGCTTCTAATTATAAGTTGGTGGGAAAAATGTTAATGGATAAGAGGACGAGCTTGTTTTGGACGCCTTGTGCCGCTCATTGTATAAATTTGATGTTAGAGGATTTTGAAAAGAAATCCAACTTCATTGAGTTACAATTAAAAAAGGGAAAAGAATTGTGGCATACATTTATTCAAGAACAAATCTTATTCATTGGATAAAGAAGTTCACCAAAGGTATTGAACTTATTAGGCCCGCAGTAACTCGGTTTGCCACATCTTACTTGACCTTGAGGCACCTTCATGAGCAAGAGGGTGCATTGTTCTCTTTGTTTACATCACCCAAGTGGAGGAATAGTCGATTTGAACGGTCTGAAAAGGGTAAAAAAATTGAAGATATTGTTTTAGACAATCGTAATTTTTGGAAGGGCGTTTCTACGTGCTTGAAGGTTGCGGTACCTCTCATTAAAGTACTTAGATTGGTGGATTCGGATGAGCATCCGGCGATGGGATTCATTTATGAGGCAATGGATCGTGCGAAAAAGGAAAGTCAAAGCAATTTCAATAATGTTTTCTCATAGTAAACTTTTATTAGTTAAACTTATTTGCTCTATAACTATATTTCCCTAAACTTTTTATTTGTTCATTAATACTCTTTATTCAATGGTTATATATGATCCTACATGGACCATCATTGATAAAAGATGGGAATCCCAACTCCATTACCCATTGCATGCTGCAGCATACTTCTTGAACCCTCAGTTTCATTACAGTTCCAATTTTCAGCCCGATGCTGAGGTTAAAATTGGGTTGTACAAATGTCTTGAAAGAATGGTTCCTGATGCTAATGAGAGGGTGAAGATAGATTTGCAAATTGATGCATTCAAGAGTGCAAGAGGACTCTTTGGCATACAAAATGCAATCATGACTAGAAAAAAGAAATCTCCAGGTGTTTTATTTTTGCTATAAGTTGAATTGTATCATTTTTATATCTTATTATTTGTTTTCATTTCATTAATTTTAAATTTAAAACTAAACTTTCATGTAGCTGATTGATAAGACTCTTTTGGTGATGAATGCCCTGAGTTGAAGAGATTTGCAATTAGGATATTAAGTTTAACATGCAGTTCATCGGGGTGTGAGCGCAATTGGAGTGCTTTTGAGATGGTACATTCAAAGCGGAGAAATCGTCTGCACCAAAAGAGAATGAATGACTTGGTGTTTGTCACGTACAATTTGAAATTGAGACAACGACACATGAATAGACAAGCAATCGTGAATCCATTATGCTTGGATAATGTCCCATCAGATGATGAATGGATAACAGAGAGAGACTCTGAATCTTCAAGAGAAGGAAATTGGTTGAGTGTGCTTGATAGGAATGCTCGACATGGATGTAATTCGGATGAAGACGAAGTGGAGGCCCTTGCAAGGAATTTGGAACAAGCTTGTAAGTTTATGTACACATCTTTTAGTTTTAATTAGAAATTATAACTTTAATTTTACTTTTAATTTTTTTTTGTTTACTCCAACTTAGGTCGTGATCATATTGGTGGAGAACATGATAAAGTTCATGAAGTCAGTGATGATGATGCTATGGATCAAAACATGGATGCTCGAAGGGATTTTGATCATGACTTTGAAGATGCTACTATTGGTGAAGACATAGAGGACTTGGATGGCACCGTAGGTGGTGATGATGATGATGATGATGATGTGGCAATGATTAACGTTGATTGTGGCAATAATGATGATAATTTCGGCGACCATGATGACTTATTTTAGTCTTTTATTTGTTCTTCCTTTATTTAGTTTGTCTTGTTTTCATTAAGAAACAATGACAATGGTGTACACGTGTTGGTATTTGCTTTTATTATGTTTTTGACTTCTTTTTTTGAAAAAAAATGTTTGAATGCTACCTTGAATTGCTATATTTCTTTTTTTGGGGCTTGTTCTATATATATTTTGATAGTATTACTTTTAGTCATACAAAAATTATTACATTTTTTTATCATTTTAGTAGGATCTTACGATCCTCGATTCGATCCTACAATCCGATCTAACAGACCCCCAAAACGATCCTGTGTAGGATCCCGATCTTAACAACCTTGGGTACATCATACATGAGGCTTATCAATGATTATGTCAAAAAAAGATTTACAAGAAAAAATACCCGATAAATGAATAGCCCAAATCCACTTATCCTCTAGATTTGGAACCAAAGAGAAATGCTCGAGCCTCGACAACAAAGATACCAACTCCGCAGTCTCCCTATCATTAAGATTTCTAAAAAGATGAACCCCAAAGGGTTGGTTTGGTGGCAAGGCCTTGGGTCTATGGGGTGTGCTCTCTCCAAGGTTCAAGGATCGAAATCTCTTGGGTGCTAACAATTCCTTAGGACTATCGAACTAGGGAAAAACCCTTGAATTAACTGTGGTGCACTTGTGAGAAACTCCTTACCAAGGGCTTGTGCACCCCAATGCCAATAAAAAAAAAATGCTAAAAAGATGAAAATTCCAAGAAATTGAAGCCAAAGAAGAGCAAGACATGGAAGCAATAGAGCAATTATGAGACTGAGACACTCTGCACAAATAAGGAAAAGACACAGCAAAGGAATAAGTACCCACCCAAACATCCTGCCAAAATTTGGCAACTTCCCAATTACCCACCCTCACAGAAAGAAAACGAGACAAAATTGGATAAATATGAGAAATTGACTTCCAAGGAGTTGGCAATTTGGATGAGTTTTTCATTCTTCCAAGACTGGAACAACATTAACTAAACAGAGGGCACATGAGAACAATAATACTCTCGTAATGGCCTGCAACAAGCATACTACTCACATTATCTGTTAGAACACACTTTTTTATGCCCATACACAAACAATTTAATAGCAAGAATTAGGACAAAAGAAAGTCAAACACAATTACCTTAGAAAGCAATGAGCTTGAACTATTCATGACAACATACCTGTACCATTTCACTGATGAATTTCAAACCTCCTGGACCAATAAGGGAACCAGCAAGAAGATAGCCAACAATAACCTAGCACAGATAGCCATAAAGTAACAGTAAGCTCTAAAATTTGTACGCATACAGCTCACTGCATGTGGCTGAATGTAAAAATAAAAACAAACTATCAGAAACAAAACTGCAAAAGAACAGAACAACCAGTTACAGATACAAACCGGTTGTCCAAGACAAGAAAAGATAATTCCACCAATGGCAGCAGAAACTATAACCACCACTAAGTCTGAAATCAGCCTACAAAATACAACACAATGAAACTAAAGCATTTGTCACCAGAAATAGATATAATAAAAAATGAACAAGCTTCGGCAACATATCTAAAGTGCTTGTATGACCAGCTTCTTCAACAAACATTTCACCAGAGACTAAATATTTCAAGTGGAAACAAAAAAAAATGTTAACCTTAAATCTACTTGAAGAACTGGATATTTTGATTTCTTATTTGACATCACAAACACATTATCCTGTCACAAATAAGCAAATGATCAGTATGTGCGCTAAGTAAACAGAAAACAGTTATATTGAAGCATCTGCACCCACAGCTCCACTTTGAAAATCCACACACCTGTTTGTCTACCAACGTTGTCATGTCATCAGAACCTTCATTTTCTAGAGAAAATACATCATGAAACTGGAATGATCTAGTACCACTGCCAAAAATAAAAATTAACAAATTTAAAAAATAAATAAAATAAAATAAAAAAGTGAATCCTACTGGAGAAAGAAAACATTAGTTTCATAACAGAGAAAAGATGTCCCATGACTCCAATGCTGATTCTGTTGTAAATTATATGTAATTTTACTGAGGAATAATTTTATCATTCCAACTTAAACTGTACAGAGTCTCTTACTTTGCCTCTTGAGTTTCATTCTTTTTCCCCTTCTCATGGGTGATTTTAGCTACAGTCTCCAGTACAGCCTGTGAAATATAATCAGAGGAACTCATCTTTAGCCCAAAATAAAGAAGTAAAAAACTGAAAATAAAAAGACAGAAAGAAAGAATGCCAAGCCACTGAAGTGAAACTAGTATACGAAATCAAAAGGTTAGACTAAATTTATCAGTTACTGTAGCACATTCAGAGCCCAAAATTTTCCATTTAAGAATGGAAGATATTATTAAATGTGGATATGTCAAATCAAAATGGAATGTGAAGAAGACCAAATTTCCTGCATTGTACAAATGGATACTAAACAAGATCCATAGCTAAAATTTCTACTCTATTTTTGCTCCCCAGGACTTTAATTGAGGTTCTGCCAGGGGCAGATCTAGGAATTTTGTCCAATGGGGCCAAAATCTTACCCTGAACCATAAGGCTGTCTTTGGATATTGAATTTGTGGACCGAAGAAAAAGAAAGGAGAGAAAGAGAGAGAAGGGAAAAGGGAATGAAATAGAAGCTAAATGAAAACATATCAGATTGAGTAGTCTACAGAGTACAGAGTACAGAGAGTGCAGTAAGAGGAGAGATGTTACAAAATTAACAAAAGATAAAAAGGAGAACAATGGTTGGTGGCAGGCAAGTACCAATGCGTGGGCTAAAAGATATATTAATGAGAGACATTAAAAAATAAAAATAATAAAAAGAGAGACCAATTCTGGCAAGGTAAGTACAAAAGGGATGGGGATAAGTTTTCCATTTACTCAATTTTCTACTAGTTTTAACAAATGCTATGTGGCTACTACAGAATGTTTTAAAAAGTAAGTGGTGGTTAAGTGCCCCCACTCAGTTTTTGTGCATCTGCCCCTGGGTGCCGCATTCTTGCTAAAGCTTTTATACCTGCATCACTAGGGAATATATGCAAGCATAGTTGAGTATGTTAGTTCAAGTCAGAACCAGGAATCAAAAGAATGATTTTCCCAAGTTTGACATTTTCAAACACGAGACTGTAGTAGGACCTTTGAAATTAAAGTAAAACAGACTCTGCTAAAAATTTCATCCTAGAGATTTAAAAGGAAAGCAAAGCCTACTTGCTGATCAGCTACACTGTTGTTGAAACTGCTTCCATCAGAACCTATAAAGGTAAAGGAATATAAGAAAATAAACTAAATACCACAAGAGAAACTACCACACACTGACACCCAAGCAATTGACTAGAAGTATGAAATTCAAAACCACAACATAATAAAAATGAATCATAACTGGAGTTGGTGCCTATGTATTATGTGCTGATGTTGAGTGAACATGGGAAAAGAAGTAAAAAAATGGCACTTCAACATACATGTGTGGATGCAACCCCTAAAGCATGATTGCTAGAATTCCTTAAGTTACTTTTTGCTTAACTGCCATATAAATTAATGAAAATAAATGCGATGGATATTTTGCGGCAAATTCCAAGCAAAGCATAGCCATGCACATGCACAAATGGAAATAAATGTGATGGAAATTTTTTCTGCAAATTCCAAGCAATAGAGTCTCGGACCTGCATTTGTAAACCTGACTCTGATGGTGCACTTTCACATCGAATCAGGCACTGTAAACTCTAAAATTTTAGTCATGTCAACATGTTTAGACATATTTTTGTCACATATTTGCATGAAGGTGCATCTTTGGAGAAGTATTGGAGTTAGCTTCAATAGCCTATCAAAAGTACCACTAGTACCATATATACTAGCAGTGTGTACACACCCAATGGTGTGCTGTTAAAACTGCAAAAAGTTACAAATTTTTTATCTGAATTTGATGTGGGCAGTTACATGAGGCAAGAAGTTACAATGCAATTACATGAGGGTATTTTGGAAAAATCAAAAAAACGTGACACACCCAATGGTGTAGACTTTATATAGTATAGATATATACTAGTGGTGTGTACACACCAGATGGTGTGCTGCTAAAACTGTAAGAATTTACAAATTTTTATCCGAATTTTGTATGGGCAGTTATATGAGGCAAGAAGTTACAGGCAACTACATGAGGGTATTTTGATAAAAAAATAAAAAAATAAAAAATAAAGTGACAGTCTACACCAACTCAGGTGTAGATTTTATATAATAGTATAAATAGTATAGATTCAAATAAACAAATAACTGCCCGTAAAAAACTCAGATAAAAAAAATTAAATTGAAATTACCACAAAGTGAGAATATTGTAAAACTCGGTAGGGACCAGTACATAAGAGAGTTCAAGGCTCAACACTGAGCCAGTAAATGGATGGTTTTGAAAAATATAGTCGTACAAGAAAAACAGTTTTTAAGTCAAGAACAATATTAGAGCCACAGAAATTCCATATGATGGTCATTTACTTAATAAAACCATACGAAAAATTCCATAGATATTTATAATGAAAAGGGTCAAGAGTATATAATTATAAAAAGGGTAAAAAAATCATCTATGATAAATAGTAGAAATGAGAGTCGGATTTGACACATTATAGGCTTATAACAGCAGAATGCATTAACGCCTCATGCCTGTAGTTGTAAAGCAACCCTTTAAAAGCAATGATTTAAGATGACCATGAGGTATGAGTATGACTAAGACCAAATACATGCCCCCTGACTTAAAAAGAATGCATTCAATGAAGGCAAGTTAAAATTGTCACAGTTGTAAAGGACTTGAGCTGATATACAGTTAGAATGCTGGACAGACAGTAAATAAATATCCTAAACGGAGACCATTTGGTTGTACTTTGTATAAGTACTGGAACATTTATTTCATTTTTTTATTTTTTAAGCCAAAAGTGTTGTATGCTTACTCATTGCACTTAAAAATGTTATTTGCGCTTAGTTGGGATGTACACAGAGCATGGCGAGAAAAGATACGGAAACCATTTCCAAACAATATCTTTAACAATAATTTCTCTCAAGGGCAGGAGTGACACTTTGGAAACCAATAGGCATTATCAATCCTTAGTTGCGAATGATAAGCAACTATTTTGTTAGGCATACTGATGCAGAATATTCATGGATATTCATGGAAACTTTATAATTGTATTTATGTCTTTAATATTTTATTTAGTTATTTTAATTTAGAGTTTAATTAGGATTCTCAAGATTTGTTTCCTTTTAGTATATTCTTATGTAGTGTCTAGAATGAAGTGGAACGGAATTATCATTCCATCAAAATATTCATTCCCATGTTTGGTTAGACTAAAAAATTAATGACAAATGCACTACAAATGAAATCATTTTTCACCATTTTAAGGGAATGGTCATTCTATAGGAAAGCCTAAGGAATCACCATTACATTCCATTCCATCCCATCCCATTCCAATGAACCAAATAGAACATTAGTGATCAAGAATTTTTAATCAGGGTTCTTAAGATTTGTTTCCATTTAATATGTTTCTTAGCCATCAAGAATTTTAGTTTCCCTATTTTTATTAGGGTTTCTATTAGCCTATAAATAAAGGCTTTGACATTATAATTGATTCAGAGTTGAACAATGAATTTGAGTTGAGAAAAGTTATGGCTTTGTGTGTAGGGTTGTGGCCCATGTTCTTCTTCTCTTGAAAATTCTTTTCTTCTTGAATCTTGGTTACTTTCTTTCGGAACCATTCTCTATTTCTGGTTTTGAATTAATTAAAAAAACAGGACGAATTTCTAAATGCCATTCTACTTCACATTTTGTATTTGAGTTAACGAGAATAAGGTCGTATTTGCACTTCATATAGCAATACTCAAAAGATATAATCCCAGTTTAAAGCATTCAAGATAAAAATGAAGCATCTGTTCGGATCATGTTTTTTAAATTAAAATATATATATATAAATTTGCATCAAAAAGGAGAATATTTGGGAATGGATTTGAGAGCTTTATATTGATGGATTTTAAATAACTCCGTGAAAATAATTGTTTCAAATCCTTTGTATAAGGATATTAATAAAATACATGTTTCATACTTTTGTTCATCCTGTTGGGTTTTGTGGACCCTGTACATTGAGCCCTTGGTCCAATGGGGGGTTTGGGGGCTCCCCGAATTTTTTGGGTCCTTCCATAACTTCTTGTTGCTTCCGTGTTACCCTAATTTTTTTGCTTATAAATAGATGAGGAGTGCCTCTTGTATTGAGCAGAGAGTTGTAACCGCAACAACTGTTGACGTGGGTGAACCAGATAAATCTTTGTATTCTTGTGTGTATGTGGTTTTTTCAATTCATTTTATCTTTCTTATTTATTTGCAATTTTGTGTCTCACCGATCTTGGTTAGGAAGAGTTGATTTCCTAACACATCCTTCACTTCAGAGTCATCAATCTACCTTCAATAGCTAATCTTGTTATAAATTTATAAAATTTAACTTCAAAATCTCTTCATTTGAAATTCACTCATCCAAAAGAAGCCTTAGCTCAGGATTAGGCAATGAGAAATAGTAAACTGCAAAAGTATTTACAGAAACATAATAAATTTTACAAGCTTGAACACAACAGCCGACGAAGTTTTCTACGAAATAGATCACAGTTTTACATGTTTGGAACGACATGCATTGTAGATACAAGAACATAATCAAAAACAAGCCTATAAAATTAAAATTAATTTTTTTTTTTTTTTTAAAAAAAAAAAGAAGATTATGATTAGCTAACCTTCAGGCTGATCATTTTCAGAGAATTCTTTCTCAAGAACACGATCGAACATTTTTGCGATACTGGCGTCGCCGGGCGATAGCGCTAGGCGTCGGGCCCGCAAGAGAGGTTGGAAGTGCGAGAACTATATTATTGCGAGAGAGAGATTGCCTGACGGTCGTGACAAAAGAGAAGATCGTTTCTCACTCTATTACAGCTAGGATCAGTGAGTAATAGCGGAAACAGTAGATATCATTGGGTGGCAGACAAATTCGAAAGCCAAAATCGACTCCTTTTGCGCAAACCCTCGCCATTAGAGAGAGAGAGAGAGAGAGAGTGTGTTTGAGACCAGATGGCAAATAGTACGAAGAATGTGGAGGGTGAGAGTATGAGATATTCTCTCAATGGATCCGTGCTATCTCCAGAGAGAGAGAGATGTGGGGGGACTGCTCTAGTCTGGTTTGGTAGATCGAATTCGGAAAAAGGATCCGTTTGGTTTGGTGGTTGGGTCTGTTACGCATCAGCATCGGACTCTCTCTACAATAGTTTTGAAGCTATTGTAGGGATCGGCATCAAATTCTTTCTCCGTCAGTCTTAATAAAAAAAATTTTTTTTTTTTTTTTGGTAAATTAATTTTTTATTAAATTTGCTATAGTGCATCAACAAAAATAAAGAGGTATTATTCATTAACTTATATGGGCCTTGTTTGGTAGAACTTAGAAAAAATGATTATAAATTATAACTTAATAAATTATGGTTTATAATCGTGAACATAAGTTATTAACCTATTTGATGATTATGGATTTAAGCAGTAGAATAATGTTTGGTTAATAAGCTGTAAAATAACTTTTTACTATATAATTGTCCTTTTTACTCTTATATGATATAAAAATGATTATTTTATCATTTTTTTCAGTTTTAATTTTTTAAAAAAATTATTTCATTAATAAAAGTTAATATAATTAGTATTACAAAAATTATCATTTCATTAATAGTATCAATTAGTATAAAATTATTTTATTTTTTCATCATAAATTAATTAGTGGCAATTAATGGCTTAATAAGCATCAATTAATACTAAAATTATTAATAGCTTCAATTAGTATAAAATTATTTCATTTTTTTTATTATAAACTAATTAGTGGCAATTAATGGCTTAATAAGTATCAATTAATACTAAAATTATTAATAGTTTCAATTATTATAAAATTATTTCATTTTTTATTATAAATTAATTAGTGACAATTAATGGCTTAATAAGCATCAATTAATATTAAAATTATTAATAGTTTCAGTTTTAATTTTAAAAAATTATTTCATGTTTCTGTTTTAATTTTAAAAAATTATTTCGTTAATAAAGTTAATATAATTAGTATTACAAAAATTATCATTTCATTAATAGTATCAATTAGTAGAAAATTAATGGCTTAATTAGCATCAATTAATACTAAAATTATTAATAGTATCAATTATTTCAATTAATGTTGTGATGTCATTACATATTATTTTATTTCAATTAATTCTGTAATGTTGTAATATCAATTTATTTCAATTAATGTTGTGATGTCATTACGTATTATTTTATTTAAATTAATTCTGTTTTTATTAAATTTTTTTCATTACAATTATTTATTTATTTTTTGAAATAAATTGTTTTTCATTTTATTTTGAAAAGTAAATATTAATTCTAAAAATTAATTTTTTAAATTATGAAAAGTAAATATTAATTGAAATAAATTGTGTTAAATATTAATTTTGAAAAGTAATTTTTTAAATTTTTTTCATATTAAATATTAATTTTGTTTTTATTAATTCTGGAAAATAATTCTTTCTTTTTAATTAATATTAATATTGATTTTTTTCCTTTTTTTTCAATTTATTTTCTAAGGTTTTAACGCCACCGACAAAGAGCCGCCGGTGGCTAGGGTTTCAACGCAGATCAACACAGATCGTGATCGCGACGGTGACGACGACGACGACAAACAACGCAGATCGAGAAAGAGAGGGATGGCGGATGTTGGGGTTTCAAATCGCAATCGCGATCGCAAAGAGAGAGAAAGAGCACGTAGCAGATCGTGATTGTGATGGCAATGGAGAGAGAACGCACGGTGCAGATCATGATCGTGATAGCGGTGATTAGGTTTCAGGTCGCGATCGCGATGGCAGTGGTGACGGGGAGGTTCGTGAGAGAGAGCTATGGTTTATTCGCCGGCACAGAAGGGTTTTAGATCGAGCGCAGACACAAACAACGCTGAAGAGAGAGAGAGAGATCTGGCGTGATCGCGAAGAGAGAGAGAGAGAGAGAGAGAGAGAGAGAGAGAAAGCTAGAGGAACAAAAACAGTCACCGAGAGAGAAAAAGAGAGAGAGATGAGAACATCGAGAGAGAGAGAAAAAAAAAAAAAAAAAAAAGAGCTCACCGAAAATCACAACTGGAAAATCACGCCATAAATCGCCTCTCAAGTTTTTGTGTCTCAAATAAGTGAACAGTGATTGAGATCGAGGGTCTATATATTGGTGTTTTGGTATTACTTGAAGTTGATGAGGGGCATTTAAGTAAATTTACCCTTTCCTTCTCAGCTTGCTGCTTAAACTGTTTTAGAAAACCACCCCAATAGTTACTTCAAGAAAAAGTTTATTTTTAGCTTACAAAAAACTATAATCTGTATTCTTAAGCTACACCAAACACAACAAAATAGCTTAAATTAAGCTGAAAACTGAAATAAGCAGCTTATAAGCCCTACCAAACAGGCCCATTATTTTTTAGTATATTTTCTAAAGTAAAACTGGGTCAAAATCTTTAAACCGATCATCCATCGAATGTCCTCCAGGATATCCGGTATGAGTGCCTGTAGCAGAAGAAGAAAAATGTCCAAAATTAGCCTAATAGGTCAACTGCAATTTTTATTTTTTTATTTTTTTGTATTTTTTAAGAATTGTTTGAGTGGCACCTTATCAATTTAATAAAAAAAATAATAATAAATACAATAATAAATTGATATTTAATAAGATTGAGTTAGAATAGAGAGTTTGATACAGTGAATACTAAAATGATGACTAGTTAAAATAGAAAAAGTGGATTTTGGATTAAATTTGACTAAAAATTTGAAGAGACTGATGCGGATTCTCTTAGGCCTTATTAATTGTGGTTTTTTTGTTATTTATTTATTATTTTGTTAGGTCATCCCAATGGTTATTCAAATATTTCATTAAATTTAATTTTGATAAAAATTGAGTCTTTTTACTGTTCTAATGGTTAACATCAAATAAGTATCAAATTAAAGATTTCACTTTTTTTGCCATCAAACTGAGAACCAATATATCTTTTATCAAATCATTGTTCATTACTGTTGCCGAACATCTCCCGGATGTCCACCTCAAGATAAAAATTTGTGAAAAAATTGCACTAGCCAATTGACCGCCCGGTTGTCCGCCCGATCGACTACCTCAAGGCAAAAAAAAACAAAAATTACACTTGCCACTCGACTAGCCGAGCCAGGTCGACTGGTGTTTTGATGAAGCTTCAAAATCTTCCATTAGAGGACTTGATATCAAATGAAGCATTACTCAAATTTGATGAAAAAAATGATGCACCGTTGGAGATGCTTTTAGACGAACTTCAATGGTCATTCCAAATGTATAATTTATAACTAGTAGTCACCCGTGCAATGCACGGGATTTTACAAAGTGAATAACATTAAAATTAATATAAAAAAAAATACTACACATGGGATTTTACAAAGTGAATAATATTAAAATAAAAAAATGCTATTTAGTTGTATTCTCTAATATGAATAAAATATTTTTATACATCATTCAAATTTTTTAATACTTCACAGCATGAAAATTTTTAGAAAACTATCATAAATTATGTAAAATCATTACATAACAAATAGATAATAAGAGTTAGTTAAGACAACCAAAAGTGGAGTAACAAAAGCATACTAAAATTATAATTAATTAAAATAACTAACATTAAATAAAAGAATGTTACGTTTTTCATTTTTTTTTCAATCAATCTTCCGTTAGAGGACTTGATATCAAATGAAGCATTACTCAAATTTGATGAAAAAATTGATGCACCGTTGGAGATGCTCTTAGAGGAACTTCAATGGTCATTCCAAATGTATAATTTATAACTAGTAGTCACCCGTGCAATGCACGGGATTTTACAAAGTGAATAACATTAAAATTAATATAAAAAAAAATACTACACATGGGATTTTACAAAGTGAATAATATTAAAATAAAAAAATGCTATTTAGTTGTATTCTCTAATATGAATAAAATATTTTTATACATCATTCAAATTTTTTAATACTTCACAGCATGAAATTTTTTAGAAAACTATCATAAATTATGTAAAATCATTACATAACAAATAGATAATAAGAGTTAGTTAAGACAACTAAAAGTGGAGTAACAAAAGCATACTAAAATTATAATTAATTAAAATAACTAACATTAAATAAAAGAATGTTACGTTTTTCATTTTTTTTTTCAATCAATAAGAGATATTATGTTAATTATCTCACACAGTATAATGAATTAAAATATAATTTAATTTAATTTTCATTATATTCAGTCAGTGGATAAAAAATTTCACATGCTATTTTTTTTTCCTTTTATTTTTATATTGATTCACTAAACACAAATAGGTTTGAAAATGTATTAAAATTGAACTGACAAACATAAAGAATAAAAATATTTAAATTATTCAAAAAATCTAACATTTTAAACATCAGATCGCTTGCATTTGTTCCAAATTTGAATTTGCATAAAAAGACATTTAAAAAAAAAAAAAAGAAGAAGAAGAAATTTGTGGTTTATGTCTCAAAAGAAATGAGTTCTTGAAAATTAATTTAATCTTAAGTTATTTAACAATCAACAACCAAAATAATTGATGATTAAATTTAAAACATAAAGCCATATTTAAATAAATTTTGATCCTCTCTTCACTTCCAATCTAACATCTGCACCCAAAAAAATAAAATATGAATAATCAATAAGTGAAAGAGTCACAGGTTAATATATTAGTACTTCAAAAAAGGAATGAAATCTCAATTAAATGACATATTATTAGCCAAAAAAGAAATAAATA